TTGTGTTTTTCGATGCCATTCAAATGCCTACATATTTTTTATATTACTTGTCATTGAATTTTGTAAAAGATGTTAGTGCAATCATTAATTATTGTGACCAACTCTACACCAACAGAGACCTTTTGATCTAGGATGAAACACTGACGATAAATTATTTATTTATAGACCTCAGAAATTACCTCACAGAATTTTGTCACCATGCCAGAGCACGCATGCACCAGCCTCCTGTCAAGCTTATAATCCTGTTAAAAATCAGGAACAACATTTAAATGTTGAGCAACTAACCCTGTTTCCTCTGTAGTTCATTTAATGCAAGATACAGTAGTCCTTGTTTTGTGAGAAAACAACCTGCTAATCAAAGAAAACCTCAGAATACAACTAGAATAGGTTCATGCTTGGCATACAGCTATCAAGCTATTGATTTATGCTGGAGTTTGGAGGGCTTAAGAGTAGCATGAGAGAAGTGCACAAGTTGTCTGAGGCACATATAGGCAAGAGCAACTCTAACCTTGCAAGCGCTCCCCAAATTCTCCCCAAGTGGATCATAGTCAAGGCAAGGTTGTGTCTGGACTGCACCAGTGTCCCTTACTGCTACTTGAAAGCTTCTCTTGATTTCAGTAGCATTAAGCAACAAGGAGCCTTTCTAACCCCTCCCCCTTGATGGAATACAAGGTTACCTGCAGCAGGAAGTTTGTAGGTACCCATTTGTGTACCCTGGTGGAGAGAGACTGGCAGAGATAAGCATCTTACCCAAGAACAACACAACAATCCCAGCCCAAGCTTGAACCCAGACTGTTCAAACTGGAGTTCAGCGCACTAACCACTGGGCTGTTGTGACTTTGAAGTGGAAGCATGACTTGATATCCACACAGCAACAAGCAAGAACCAATTCTTTTATAGTACATGTATCATTGACAGAGGTTGGGAATAAGAGGGATTTCTTTACAACAAAAAAAGAAATCAAACTTCTCTTTTATGCACTGTATCAATTGACAAACTCTCTCTTCTCTGTTTTCATTGTATTTGCCGATGCTTTATCATAGGGCTGAAATCTTAGCTACAACCATGAACATTTCATTTCAGCTTGAAATCAAAAGCGATATGCATGCATGATTCATTTCTCCTTTGCAGGTCACAAGAATAAAGCTATTTGATCAACCAAGGAATATTTCCTTGAGATGTACATTGTACCTTACCAACAAATTCTCAACAGCCAACACTAAAGGAATCGCTTGGACACAAGTAAGGAGAATTTCTGTGTTGTTAATAGGGTCTACTAACCTCGCCTTCC